CTTAACTCCGCAATCATGAAAGAGATTTCGAACCCAAGAAACAGCTGTATTTGCTTGCTTATCGTATAATTTGGATACTTCTTGTTTGATGATCTCTTCAGCATTTGGACAGCTTTGTTCATAGTAGTTTAATTGAAGATCACTTTGACCTGCATTATTTTCCCTCCCTCTTACTAAGACTGTAACTGGAAAAAAAAAAACAAAACAAAACTAATATCAGGGCTCCAGCTCGTCACTGAACCAGAAGGTGGGATTCGGCTTAAACGTTTGATGTGATCAAAACCGAAACCAAAATCAAACTCATGGGTCCACAAGTATTGGATTCAGCTCAAGTGATGTAAGATTTATGTTAGTACTGAGCATAATGATTAGCATGGCCTACATCTATGATAAGTTACTGTTTTGATACTAACTAAAATAATTTAAGATGAAACCTGTCATTAATTTAATAATTTTTTAAGGTAAAATTGATAAGTCTTTAAAAATTTATAACCAAGTTATTAATAATAATTAATTTTTACACTTATTTATTCACAAAATCCCCACCAATATAAAATTTGAAATGTTATAATAATATATACTATAAAATACTTTTCTAATAAATTAAAGATATAAGAAAGCAATACCAGAATAGAACTGTAGGAGTAATGGCAATAACAGAATGAGACATGTGGTGGAGCATAAGTTGTGCTTTTGCCCTCTGATGGTGGCCATCTTTAACCTCCTTTCGCCTTTTCTGTGTGTTCCAGATGAGGAAAATTTCTCACCTTATATAGAAACTCTTAGGAGTGCAAACCTGCAACATATCAAATTCGTAGCATGTAGCTAGCCATTCCCACTAGGCCATTTTCTTTGACCTTTCGGCCTGTTTTGTACTAACACGCTGGCGCGGTCGTGACTGCCACTAGAAGGATAGATCAATAGTAATATAAAAGTTTAGATTCACATTAATCTCATTTTAAAATATGTTCTTGCAATTATATATGATAATTATTTTGGATATTATGTGATTATTGTAAAATTTAATAATAAAATAAAATTTTATATCAATCTGACCCTCTAGATCAAGTGATTTTGGTCACTTTTGTAAGATTCATATCCCTCTCCTCAAATCAACGGTTCTAACCGGTCTTATGATAAAATGTTAAAAAAAAAAAAAAGATTTTGTGTATTATTTTTTTATCAGCTGTTATGCATGTATCGTTAGCGATCATTTTGCAATTATCGAGATGATTAAGCTTTTTATTTAGGCAAAACCATAAGTTAAGCCCCTGAACTAACCCCAGAATAGCTATTAAGCCCCTAGACTTTAATTGATGCAGTTAAGCCCTTGAACTCTGGGATCAAAGCAATTAAGCCCTTCTTCTTATGCTATTAAGCCCCTAGACTTTAATTTTTAAAATAAATTGCTTAAGAAGAAGGGCTTAATTGCTTTGATCAGAGACAGAGAGTTCAAGGGCTTAACTGCATCAATTAAAGTCTAGGGGCTTAATAACGATTCTGGGATTAGTTCAGGGGCTTAACTTATGATTTTGCCTTTTATTTAAAACTAGAATTTAAGTTGAGCTTTGTGCAGTATACTGGAATATTTTTAGCGCAGAATTTTTTTAGTTTATTTAATATTATGTGATAATAAATAATTATAAATAATCATATTATTGATTTGGTTTTTAAAAATAAAAGATAAACTATAGTTCATTAATATAACTATTATTAATTATAAACTCACTTTGTATTTTTTTTTTTTTGTCTCCCTTATTTTTTCTTATTACTTGGCTCCATGTAATGACATTTGCGAGTAAAACTATTTTATGATCCCCTTTCCACCCAAAAAAAAAAAAATGAGAAAAGAAAAGAAAAGAAAAAACCATTTTGTGAAACCGCGTCATAAAAAAAAAGGTCAAAATATTTCACTAATTCTTTTTTCAAAAAGTAAAAAAAAAAAAATATAGTGTGAAGTCTTTCAATAATAATTGATTATTACAAAAAAGAAATTATTACTTTGTACGTATTTTCATTGGTCTTCTTTTTGGAACTCTCTATTGTTTACACTATTAAAGCTATATAATTTTGAAATTTTTTAGGCACCTTTTTCATTTTTTAAAATTTAAATTCGCAAATGCAGATTAAAGCCTTGTGTTAGACATTAAAAATTTAATATAAAAAAAATAAATGATTCTATCATAAACTTACTTTGTAATGTTTTTGGTCTCCCTCTTTTTCTCTTATTATTTGGCTCGGTTGCAATGACATTTGCTAGCAATAATTATTTCATAATCTTAATACTTGACTCTGTGAAATTCAATGATTCATGTTTCTAAAAACAAATTTTCTGTAAAATGTTTCAATTGTAATTGATTATTATAACAAAGAAATCGTTATCTTATTTTCATTTTTTTTTAAAGTGTTAACGTCAATAAAAGAACATATATATTTTTTAATGAACTTTGTGTTTTCTTCTCTTTGTCTATTTCTTCTTTCTGTTTTCTTTAGCAAATAGAAAATGCTTTGTTGAGTTTAAATTCAACTGGGAATAATCGAAGTGTTTGAATGGAAACATAGTAACATACGTTCTGAAAAATGATTTTGCAATTCCAGAAATAAATACAATTATACAGACCAAACTCATTGAAGAATAACACTTGATATCACTTAAGTAACAATTG